ACAAACTTCAAAACGCTACAGAATATTTACTACTGAATATTAATAAGATATTTTTTTACTAAAATTTTTCTTAAATTCTACTCTACAAAATAGCTATCTTAGATTTTTTTTTTACTTTTTATTTAAAATTTAAAAATAATTAATATTTTTAATAAAATGTAAAAAAATTAATTATTGAGATATAGCTATAGACCTAACGTCTAACTAATATTTAAAAAAAAAATCAGCTAAAAATATTAACTGGATCAAAAGTTATTTAAGTTGTCAGTGAGTGGTGGGCCACTCTGTATATCAGGTGATATATGTCATATAGACATAAAAAATGGTTTTAAAAGTATTAAGATAAGGTGATTAAGACTAATTTATGTATTCTTAAGGTATGATTACTATGTACACGTCTGAAGACACGCTCTCGCACGACGCAATTCAAATATCTGCCACATGATTACTTTTTTAGTCGCGCGATCTAATATAATTTCCTATTCACTACTACGCCAGATCACGGTAAATAATAATTTTTTTTTTTTCATAAAAAATCGTTTTCAACTTCTTCTTTAATGATTCTATAAGTATTAATTAGGCAATAAACATATGTAGTTTTATGTTTTATTTTTTAAACATACCTTTAAGTAAAAACAAAACTTATTACTAAATTTATCTTAAATTTTTTAATCTTCTTCGTGGGAGAATGAACATTGAAATTTAGTGAGTGACATATTGAAATAAAATATAAACAAACATTGGCCACCACCAGGCGCAAAATCTGTGCACCATCACAACTATCAAAAAAAGTAACTTTATCGAATATTAAGTAAACCAGTACGGTACGGTCAAAATTTAAATCGCTCCTCCTGTTTTCAGATGCCCATATAGGAATCACACCTTTATACTAAGTTAAAATCATGTTTTTTAATAATAATAAATACAACATATATAATAAAATATATAATCACTCCATTAAAACCATAAAACTAATTAAAAACGTAAATAATTACAAAGAACTTAATATCAGAGAAGCAATAGAAATGTTTAAAAATAAAAACAGGTTAATTAATTGGGATCTTGGCCCACTGAAAAATTCATTATTAAACTTGTGTAAACTGGCAAAATGTGATAATATTACTTAGTGATGACGTCACTGGGTGATAAGGTCACTAGGGGTATATAAGGGAGATTTTTCTAGTCGGGTTGTCAGTATGTGTTTAGCGTTGATAATGGTAACATTGTTTCCGAAATACGTATTTATCATTATTTATTGGTAACTAGAACATAATTTGGAAAGGAAGCCTCTTTCTTTTAATATACATAGAGAATTAACATTAAAAGTTAAAAAAACTTTTAATTATATCAAATTAATTTATAACTAAACCTTAAGTTTTTTGTTAATTTTTTTTTTTTTATAGGTTTAATGATTAAATACCCCTAACCCCCTCCCTCATATAGGAATATATTTTTTAGTAAAAAAAATTAATCAAAATAATCATTTTAAATATAAAATTATGACAACAAAAAAATAGTGATTTTTTGTACAAAAATTTTTTATTTAACTTTGGGTTTACAGAAGATAAAGTTTAGGGACAATTTTTTTTTTAACTTATAGTAAATAGCAAAATATTTAATTTAACATATGATTTAAGTCCTGAGTATTTCATAAATATTTTCTATAGTTAAATTTTACTTTTTAAACATGTATTTCAAGTTTTGAGCCCTTTCTGTATAAGGGGAAATGATTTTAAAAAAAAGTATCTATGAACTACTCATAAAAATAATTATTATAATCCATACATTTTTCAACAAGTTATAGGAATTTAAAATTGAAATTATTGTTTCCAAACAAATATAAAAATTGACCTTAAAAATATCAATATTTTTTAACTTATAATATGTAACACAAGTTTTAATTTGCATGTGTTTGAAGCTCATAGTAGTATTTTTGGAATATTTCCAAAGGTTAAATTGAAAACATATTACTTTTTATACGAATGTTTCAAGTTTTGAACTCCCTATCTTATTTAAAAAAAAATATGTCGGATGAAAGAGGTACCAAAAAGTGATAAGTTTATCGGAAAACCACTCGATTACTCCCATAATAAATACAATATTTAAAAAATAATTTTTGATTACATTTAGTTGCATACACTTCTTGAATTATCAGCAAGTAATTACTTTTTATAATCATTTCTAATATTTTATAAGGGTGTTAACGTAATTTTTTAAAATGAAAACATACATATTTACTTAGCTTTATTACCACATGTGCTTAATGTGTTTGATTGTAAGGGACATTGTTGTGAGTTAACATTTACAAATACACCAAATAGAAATACAGAACATCTATCGATAGTCATAATTGGCAATAAATTCTGCGTAACTGCGAAGTTACAAAAGAAAAATGATGTACCTGTATTTATAAACCTTCATAAATTATATAAGTATAATATAAATTGTATATTATCTCAAAAATTTGAAACTATGAATTATAATTTCTAATACGAGTAAAGTTATTTTAAAAATTTAAATATCACATTTTAATTAAAATTAAAATAAAACCTTTTATCAAATTCAAAATATGTTTAAAAAAAACCTGTACAAGACATAAGATATGAACTTAAAAAGTATTACATTGCTAATAATTAAAAAATAATATGTGACTAAAGGTATCCAAAAAAAAAAAGT